TGATATTCTGTCATTACATTTCTATATTTTTGAAATGACAAAATTATAGAAATATAAAAAGGGTAAGCAGGGACAAGAATGAGTAGGTGTGTCTAATAGTAATGGAAGCATTCTGTATCCTGATTGTATCAATGTTAACATCTGGGGTATAATATTGTTTTCAGTTGTATTGTTCTGTACAACTGTTTCATTGTTTTCCAATTGTACTACAGTTTCCAAGATGTTAGCACTGGGGAAACTGGATAAAGATTAATGCTATCTCTGTTTTATTTCTTACAACTGTGTAAGTCTACACTTATCCCAAAATGAACAGTTCATTTTCTATAAAGTAACAAATACACGAAGGTAACTGCTCTTACTGGTTATTTGTGCCCACCCTGTGTTACTGTAAAGAAAAACTCTAATGGAAAAATCTGAAGATACTCCTTGGTTTATTTGAACTTAAAATTCCAGAGCTGATAGTTAATAAACAATGATTTAATCGGCTGGGAAAATTAACTTAGGGGAATGTTCTAAATCTGGAGACAGCAAGCTTTTCTATGAAGGGCTAGATAATAAATGTTTTATAGGCTGCATGTCATATGGCCTCTGCCCCAACTGCTTAATTCTGCTGTTATAGCACAAAACAGCCATAGACAATACATAAATCAAAGAGTGTGACAGTGTTCCAATAAAACTTTATTTATGGACAACAACATTTTAGTTTTATCAATTTTCACATCATAAAGTATGACTTTCTAAACATTTTTCTAACATGTATCATTGTAAAAACTATTCTTACTGTGTAGATTGTACAAAAACAGACCTTGAATTTGGCCCATGGGCCATAGTTTGTGGAAGGCTGAGATAAATTGCCATTTTTTTGGACTCTTCTATGGTCTCATGATTCAGTTTTGCTTACTTTCTTTTTTCTTCTTGAATATCTACATTTCCATAGCTGCTAACTGCTCCCATTTAGGAATTCCCCCTCAGTGTTCTTCCATCTGTGTTTTTCTTCATCATGTTGTAAAAAGATAAAACAGAATTTGTACTGTGAAAATGTAGAGCTTTGACTAAAGTAGAAAATTGGATAAAGTTATGTCTTTGAAATCACATTTGCTTCAATTTCTTCAAATTTTAGGCAAAAATAATGCTTCCTTTTTATAAGCCCTCTTTGATGGTTCATGCCTTGAGAATCAATAAAGGAGAAAATTTCATGAGGCAAACTAGTTGAAAAATTCAGATTTATTTAGACCAGAAGTAGGGGGGGAAAAACAGATTAATAAAAAAGGCTACAAGAGGCTGAGTATGGTGCCTTACACCTGTAATCCCAGCACTTTGGAAGGCTGAGGCAGGCGGATCACTTGAGGTCAGAAGTTCGAGACCAGCCTGGCCAACATGGTGAAACCTTGTCTCTCCTAAAAATACAAAAATTAGCTGGGCATGGTGGTGGGCACCTGTAATTCCAGTTATTTGGGAAGCTGAGGTTGGAGAATTGCTTGAGCCAAGGAGGCAGAGGTTAAAGTGAGCCAAGATCGTGCCACTGCACTCCAGCCTGGGCAATGGCGGGGGGCGGGGGGGAAGGCTATAAGAAACAATGTGCTGTGGTGTGTTGTGGTTGTAGATGGCACTTGATAGTGATGGAAGTAAGAGCAGAGATGGCATGAAAAGCAGGAGGATAAAGTAGTTGATGACAATAATAAGGTTATTAAAATTAAATCAGAAAGAAAGAAAACCATGTCAATCACAAAGAGAAACCTAAAAGCGAGGGCTAAATGCAGGTAACAATAGTAGTAATAACGTATATTTTGAGGTCACAATATTCCATTGGGGTCATATGAATAAAACAGTAGACTTCTAATGAGATTCTTACTTTTAATTAAAAATAAAATTTGCCACAATTATATTTAATCAAAGACATTTTATGAAGCTTTTTTAAAGTAACATAAATGAAGAATATTCCAAAGTCCTCAGACAATGTTGTCTGGATTTTCTTTAGAAAATTAGAATGTACAGAGAACAAGGCCTTTTTTAAAAACAAAAAAATTAAATGACTCCAAATAATTAATGTAGAAAACTAAACTGCATTATTTTTATCCTTATGGTCAATTAAACCTCAAAATTCATTAAAAACTCATGACCATTATTTTTCGTATCAAATGAGAAATGATGAAAATAATTTAATGAAATGAGGAATTTTATTTAAGTTTTGGGAAACATATGCAGGACGTGCAGGTTTGTTGCACAGGTAAACACGTGCCATGGTGGTTTGTTGCACCTATCAACACATCACCTAGGTATTAAGCTCCACGTGTATTAGTTATTTATCCTGATGTTCTCCCTTCCCCGCCACCCTCAACTGGCCCCACTGTGTGTTGTTCCCCTCCTTGTGTCCATGTGTTATCATTGTTCAGCTCCCACTTATAAGTGAGAATATGCAGTGTTTGGTTTTCTGTTCCTACATTAGTTTGCTGAGGATAATGGCTTCCAGCTTCATCCATGTCCCTGCAAAGGACATGATCTCATTCCCTTTTATGGCTGCATAGTGGAATGAGGAATTTTAAATAAACATAACTTGTTAAAATACCAACCAGAAAGTAAAATAAGGTTTTATCATTACCGATATGAGTTAATACATATTAACACACTTAAAAGTTATAGTTCCTTTTAGTGAACAAACATAAATAGAAAAATAGTAATATTTTTAAAGCAACTCTAAAGTACAGATACTGTGCTAAGCAATTTATGTGAATTGATTCCGTTAATAAGAATAGTTTCCCTAATCAACTTACACCAGTATGAAGTTCATAAAGTACAGTTATCTTTGCTAGTATAATGCTATTCATCATGCATTGGGGAAAAGAGTTCTGTGTTTAAGTGTGTGGTAAAACTGGTGTTTTAAGTGGATTAGGGTTTTAACCCTTACTTTTGAAATAACTATGAAATTGAACATTTCATTTTTAATTTTCCAAAACAGAGAAACTGAATAATATGTAATTTTTAATATAATGATCTTTTCAAGGTAATTTTGTATAATGTCTCTTTTGCTGATTTTGGATATTTGGATCTTTTCACATCTAGGATTTGGCCTTCATGTAACTGGCAGATTCGGTGGGGTTTTGGCTGGTTCAAGGATTTGGGGTACCATGATCATCTCTTTAGAACCGTATAAGCCAGATTACAATGATCTGAAATAAATTGATTTGAAATTAAAAAAGAAATTATCCAATAAATTTTAAATATGTCATAAATCCTTTCTTTCCATCGAAATTGTAAAGAGGTTTTAGTGCTATTTTAAGGGTTAAAAAAGATAAATCATGTCAACTTCAAAATGAATAAATTTGCATAGTCAAAGATGTTGCAGACCAGTGAAACTATTAGTTGTCTTATTAATTGGACTTTGTTTAAGAAGACATTTTTGCTAACCATTCACAATATTTCATTTTCTGGTTTACACATCAAAGTGAAGTTTACATATTAAGCATAGTAGTCTTGGAAGTCTGGCATCTTTCTTGACCACGTAGGAGTAATGGTTTCTGTATTAACTAATTTCAGACTTAAAGGGCTATAACAACAACCATTTAGCAAAATGAAAAGTTTTATTCAGAGTTAAATTAAAAAATCATAAATATTTAAGACCTTTCTATTTAATGGGAGGCATCATCAGGGCTTTCTTGATTCAATATCAAATGTACATATGACTTCATCAATTGTATCACCTGAAGTAAGTGGGAAAGCCTTCAGAAAGAAGTGAAGCTTCAGCCAGAGCTGCCCAGTCAAGAACAAATCCCGTATCTGAGGTATTAATTGGGAGTACTGCTGGGAAGTATATGACCTTCAGAACTGAAAATACCTGTTCATAAATTACTTCCTTATTGCAACTGGATTATTTGATAAATATGTTTCTCCACAGTCAAATGAATATGCTCAAGTAATATCTAGGTGTAACATGAGGTGTTTTGAAGAGTGAAAAATGAATAATAATTAATTAATGCCATCCTAGAAAGGTAGAGTGAATCCTGTTTACAGCCCAGTATGGTGTCTGAGTACACAAATGGAGCTGCACCTCAGGTTTCTGTTTGCTACATCTCACCAGGTACTCTTACTCTTTCTGTTCTCAGTTATAGATAGTATATTCTGCTTTTGAAAAGTCACATATGACCTCACTTCACCCCCAAATATGTACTTTCAATTTTATAATTTTGACTTCAGATGAAACAATTTTGACTTCAGACTTTAATCTCCCCACTAACTTGAGTTTATTCTCATGTAGTGATATCCTCCAGGCCTATGTCTTCTGCATGTGTGATGACAAATTCTCCTTCAAAAGCATGTGATTGAACCAAGAACAGGCAGAATTCGCAAAACACATGGAGTTTTTATACACTGCCTTCTGTAGTCAATTGTGTTAGATTTGTTCCAGATCCATAATGAAATATTCCAGGTTATTTCCATATTAATGGCCATTGGACCGAACACAGCAGTTTTTAAGCTTCCCTTATCTCCAGGAGAACCAAATGGAAATCTCATAAGATTTGTACTTACAATCATCTCATGGGCTACAGTTTACCGTCCATGTTCTGCATATAAACTTTTCTAGATTATCACACTAATATGGGTGAAAACACTGATTTTTGTTTATCTATGACCTTCATTTTTAGTGTAATGCAAGGATAATTTTATGCATATTATGTTTGTGAATAACTTCTTTATTTTACAAAATACCTATGTAACTAAAAAGAAAAGGAAGAATGTATGTGATCTGTACATAAATTAATTCAGTAAAGTTGCAGGATACAAAATCAACACACAAAAACCAGGAGCATTTTCTATATGCCAACAGTAACAATCTGAAATGAAATTTTAAAAATTCAATTTACAATAGCCACATATAAAATTAAATATGTGGAAATCAACCAAATACCTAGAAATTAACTTAATCAATGACTTTTTAACATAATTTTAAAATTGTTTAAAAAACATATATTTTTATTGTGTAAAAATACATAATATGTATTTTATTTAAATATATATGTAATATATATTTAGAAAGCATTCCACATTTGGAGTTACAAAACAGAAAACATTATCATAATTTTAGCTTTCTAGATAAATTTAGTTTTCTAAGTGCTATGATTATAAGCTTTGGTTTTACACTGGTTGAACAGTGTCCCAGGTCCTTAATGGAGCAAGATAGTCTTTCATAAAACAGAATGTGCTCCTTTAAAATACTGTGATAGTCAATGTCTGTGTAGCCTACTGCGCAGAGTAGAAGGTACATACAGTCTTTCAAAAACAGAATTTGTTAATTCACCCCTACACTGCATTGTCTTTTATATTCTTTATTACGTGTTATATTTATTTTTTATGTATATTTTGAGTTTCATTATCTTCATTTATACTTCTTTCTTTGTCTCTGTTAGGATTTCAACTTTCTCCTATCTGTCAAGCTTTGTGCCAATGCTTTGTTTACTCAATTTAATTTTCTGTGGCCCAGAAAAAAACATACAGATAACACAACTATAGAATAGTGTCAAGAGGGCTTTCACTCCTTTAACACTTAATAAATAATGAGTACTGCCTATGTGTAAAGTGCTACACAAGAAACAGTTCCATGTCTTCATAAAGCTTTAAATCTTATAAAATGATAAGATATGTGAAAAAGTTCTTTAACATAAGGCCTAATGTTTTTTCTCTGATGACTTATGTTAAGTCATGTGTACTTTAAAAAATGTAAAGTGCTGCTCATAATTGAGAGCAGTTGTAAAAAGAAGGTTGGGTGAGAAGGGGTGAAAACAAAATCCGAAGGAGTTTCATGTACACCTAGACACTGATGGTTAAAAATGAAGAACACTCTTGTGAAATATTTTAAAATGTATTCTGTTTTTTAAGTATTACAAAAATCACATACTTTGAAATATTTTAAAATTTATTCTGCTTTTTAAGTATTACAAAAATCACATACTTGATGGAATATGAATGTCAAGGCTTTGTCTGACATTCCAATGATGTAATATCTAGAAGGCTTAAAAAAAATAAGCAGTCACTGTAGTGTCTATTTTGGACCTTAGGGAGTAACATATCCCACACTGGGCAGAAGACAGAAAGGAGAAAATACAAAGCTAGGTGTAATGTATATACATCAATACATTTATTATTATTTGCATATTTTTGATAGAGTAATTAAAGTATGCTATCAGGTGCATTATGTGTCTTGACCATGTTTTCAAAATAGTTTTGAAATGCATTTCTCATGAACAAATCCCAGTACTACTTGGTCAAATCTGTGTTTCCTTATTACTTGAAAATGGAACCAGGCATAGTGGTCCAGCCTTGTAATCCCAGCTACTTGGGAGGCTGAGGTGGGAGGATCACTCGAACCCACGAGTTTGAAAAACAACTGGGTTATACAGTAATACCCATGTCTCTTTTTAAAGAAAACTGAAAATGGAAAGTTATATGAAAAGAGAAGAGTTTATGTACATAAATATATTTGTGCGTGTCTACATGTATATATGTGTGTATGTATAAACAATTACAACATTTTATATTATGCTTTCAATTTAAAAAAGAATAATATATTCCTATTTGTTGTTTAAAGATAGAAAAGAAAACTAGATTAGCAAAGCTAAACGTACTATCTAGGTATGCTGAGTATGTGCTTTGCTGTTGTTTTTTTAGACCCAACAACTTGAAATCAAACTTGTATTTGAAAACAATTTTGTCTATAGCAGAGTTGGGGTCAGAATTGACTTCTGAATTTCATTTGCATTATTCACTTTACAGACAATGCATTAGTGATCATTGTGTTTAACTACGGATATGTGAATTTGATGATAATGATAGGTCACTGAAGATAAATTTCTAGGATGTGGAGAATGGAACTATTTTAGTATTTAGTCTGAGCTTCTGAAATAACATGTGCATGTGTTGTATACAAAGATTTCTTACATATGTTGAGCAAGCATGATTAATATGTTTCATTTCAAAATGCTTATTGCTCAGATTATACTACAAAATGCCTTTCTCCATGTACATAATACCAAGCATCTAATTTTATGTTTATAAAGTCTTGTTCTGATGTATCAGACTTTGTTTTAGAAATATCCCCTCCTACTCCCTTCACTATCATTTGTCCACATTATTACTGAAATTTTGTTTTTCAATAGAAGTGATATATGGTAAAAGTGTTTTATTCTACAGTTTCAGATATATATGCTTGTTAGTAATAAGAGAAAGTAAGTATCAACTTAATTCAAGAAAATTCTTCTTTAAAGCTTTTGGTAAAATCCAACATCCTTTCATGACAAAAACCCTCAGGAAACTAGGCATTGAAGGAACATACCTCAAAATAATAGAAGCTATCTATGACAAACTCACAACCAACATCATACTGAACAGGCAAAAACTGGAAGAATTCTCTTTGAGAACTAGATCAAAACAAGGATGTCCACTCTCACCACTCTTATTCAACATACAACTGGAAGTGCTAGCCACAGCAATCAAACAAGAGAAAGAAATAAAAGGCAGCCAAAAAGGAAAAGAAGAAGTCAAGCTATATTTCTTCATATATGATATGATTCTTTAACTATTACAATAATTACTATAATAATTATGATTGTAATAGTGATTACTATAATAATCATAATCATTTCCATCATAAGTAGTATAAAACCATAGAGGCCATAGAGGCCACCAAAAGACTCATGGAACTAATAATTTCTGTAAATTTCAGTATACAAAATCAATGTACAAAAAACAGTAGCATTTCTATACATCAATAAAGCTCAAGTTGAGAGCCAAGTTAAAAATAAAATCCCATTTACAATAGCCACACAAAAAATGAAATATTTAAGAATACATCTAACCCAGGAAGTAAAAGATCTCCACAAAGAGAACTACAAAACACTGCTAAAAGACCAAGATATGGAAAAGCATTCCAAGATCACAGATAGAAAGAATCAGTATCATTACAATAGCTAGACTGCCCAAAGCTATCTATAGATTCAGCGCTATTCCTATTAAACTACCAATGTCATTTTTCACAGAATTAGAAAAAGCTATTCTAAAATTCATATGGAGCCATAAAAGTGCCTAAATAGGCAAAGCAATCCTAAGCAAAATAAACAAATCTGGAGGCATCACAATGACCTGACTTTATATTGTGAGGCTATAGTAATCAAACAACATGCTCCTAATAGAAAAATAGACACATAGATCAACGGAACAGAATCAAGAATGCTGAAATAAAGATGCACACCTACAGCCTATGTGATCTTCAACAAAATTGATTTAAAAAATAAGCAATGGAGAAAGGACTCCCTATTCATGATGCTGGCTAACCATATGCAGCAGAATGAAACTGGACCTCTATCTTGCACCATATACAAAAATACACTCAAGATGACATAAAAATGTAACACGTAAATGTTAAGAACTCAAACTAAAAGAATGCCAGAAGAAAACCTAGGCGACACCATTTGAACATTGGCCTTGGGAAAACAATTTATGACTAAGTCCTTGGAAGCAATCACAACAAAAACAAAAATTGACAAAGTGGGACCTAAAGAGCTTCTGCATAGCAAAAGAAAACTATCAATAGAGGAAACAGACAACCTATAGAATGGGGAAAAAAACCTCAAAATTTATGCATCAAACAGAAGTCTAATACCCAGGTTCTATTTGGAACTTATACAATTGAAAAATCAAAATAATAACCCCATTAAAAAGTAGGCAAAAAACACGAACAGACACATCTTAAAAGACATACAAGTGGTGAAGAAATATATGAAAAAATGCTCCACATCACTAATGTTCAGAGAAATGCAAATTAAAGCGCAATGAGGTACTGTCTCAGGCCAGTCAGAATAGCTATTACCTAAAAGTAAGAAACAACAGATGCTGGTGAGGCTGCAGGAAAAGGGAACACTTATACACTACTCATGGGAATGTAAGTAAGTTCGGCCACTGTGGAAAAAAGCAGTCTGGTAATTTCTCAAAGAACTTGGACTATCATTCTACCCAGGGATCCCATTACTTGCTATATATCCAAAAGAAAACAAATCATTCTACGAACATGTTCATTCCATGAACATGCACTGGCCTGTTCATCAGAGCACCATTCACAGTGGCAGACATGGAATCAACCTAGGTGTCCAACAACAGAGGACTGCAAAAAGAAAATGTGGTTCATACACACCATGGAGTACTATGCAGCCATAAAAAAGAATGAAATCATATCCTTTGCAGCAACTTGAATGCAGCTAGAGGACACTATCCTAAGTTAATTTACAACCAAATAGAAATAGAAAACCAAATGTCACATGCTCTCACTTGCATGTGGGAGCTACATATTGGGTACTTATGGACATAAACATGGCAATGATAGACACTTGGGGTTACTAAAGGTGGGAGGAAGCGAGGAGGTCAAGGGTTGTAAAACTAACTATTGGGTACTATGCTCAGTACTGGATGATGCGATCATTTGACCCTAAACCTCAGCATCATGCAATACAACCAGGTAACAAATCTATACATGTAACCCCTGAATCTAAAATAAAAGTTGAAAAAAAGAAGACAAAAATGTGTTTTAAATCTACGGAATTACTGTGGAATGCAGTCTTCACAGAACAATGAGCTTACTAGCATGTCCTGTTTCATTTACTGGAATAAATTTCAAAAGGGGCTGGAACGTTGTGTAAAAGGGTTCTGTAGAAGAGATTGCCTGTTGAAACTTAGAGTAGACAAGGTAACCTGAATCCCTTTTTGCACTGTAACCTGGGGCAAGTAATTTAATCAATGTGTTAAATCAACTTTCCTCTACTTTGCAATAGGAATAAAAGGAAATAATTAACTAACTGGGTTGTTGAAATAATTAAAAATATACCCTTCTAAAAGAGTCAGAACATGTCTAGCACACACTAAAAATTAAATAATGTTAGCCATTATAGTCATTTTTTAAGCCTTAGGACTTTACACCAAATTGAAAATATTTATAAACAGAATGCTATCTAGCAAAATTTTTCAGCACCATTTCTTATAATGGGCAATGATGCTACAATTATTATTATACATTTATATGATGTACACTACTGTACATCTATATGCGCATAGGATATGGTGGTACATTTATATGATGTTATGTATGTTATGTCAGTTAATATCTTTGAAGGTTTAGCAGAGCAGCTATTATTCTCTTTTACAAATCAATAATCTAAAATAATACTTACTTAAAGTAATAAACTATAACCATGATGTAAAACCCAGGATCCATGAAACCCAAGGGCTAGTCTTGTTTGCTGAGTGTGCTTTTCAGGTAAAACTTATATTCGATTGCATTTTTCTTTCTTTCTCTTCCTCTCTCTCTCTCTCCTCTCTCTGCCTCCAGCCTGCCTGCCCCATGAGGGTAATGGAGATAGGAGAAGGCACACAATAAAATTATTTTCACTGTATAATTTTATAGAACACTTTTTTAGTCTGGTTTAGATCACTAGATTTTTTAAGGGGTAGTAAAAGTCACTGACAATCAGTAAAAGTAAACAGTTTTGAGTTTAGTGAAATATGGATTATCTGGATGGACTGTTGCTTGTGCAGAGAAGAACAGGAAGAATGTTCAGAGTTCTGTTTTGCAACAACTTCTGGAAAAGCATTCAGTGAGAATTGAAGTGAAATTGTAATAAACAAACATACCAAAATATGGCTTTAAAAAAATAAAGAGTTATTTTCCCAGCCTAGGCAACATGGTAAAACCCTGTCTCCACCAAAAATCCAAAACTTTTAGCGGGACATGGTGGCACACACCTGTAGTCTTAGCTACTCAGGAGGCTGAGGTGAGGGGATCGGCGAAGCCAGGGAGGTGGAGGCTGCAGGAAGTCAAGAGGGCGATACTGCACTCCAGCCTGTGTGACAAAAATTATTTTTCACAACAAAAGGCCTAATTTTAAAAAGCATTTTTATGTATAGATTTTATTACATAATTTGGAATTGTCATTAAATTTTATTTTTTCATATTTAATTCATTTTTGTTGACAACTTCCCCAAAGATCAAATTAACTCTATAAAGAATAACAGGACTGTATGTATTATTAAAGATGACTACATGAACTTAGATGTCTGTATAACCGCTTTCAATGGAAACTTGAGGTTAAGACCTAAATTCAATCAATATCTCTATATAAGCTAAGGTTAAAGTTTTTGTAAGCCACAAATAACATGTAGGATTTTTAAAGATTCTCCAACAAAATATCCACCTTACATTGATCAAATAACATTTATTTAAAATATATGGTGTTGTCTGATATTTTATTTGTTAAGAAACTTCATTAATCTCTAATACATAGTCACCTAAGCCACATTAGAAACCCAGAAGAGTCAAAAGAAACATACAATTATCCTATAAGACTACATTGCATGTATTTAAAGAATAATTACAGCTTAATATTTTGATGGAAAATTGTGAAACTGAAGTTATCATCAGATTTTTTTCTTTCCTAGTGGAATAACATATTCTCTATTATAATCTATATTAATCTGGTACTGTTTAAATAGTATGAAGTCTAGACAAAATGTAGTATATTTGATGTCTATCATGAAACTTCAAACTTGGGACAAAATGTGGCAGGTATCATTAATATATCTTTAGTCATTCATGCTGAAAATAACAATTGCAGCTATGCAAATACTCCAAGAGTCTTTCTATATATATCACAACAGAGTAAAAAAATAAAAAACAGCATCTACAAAAAGCTGTTAATTATTATTTCTACAACAACTGAAATGCTATTTCTACTTAATACGCTGTGAATTTATAGCTTTTTAAAGCAAACATCATTTGAGGATAAATGATCTATTTGTGATTATCAGGACACTAAATATCATAAAACCTTACTACAAGGAACTTGGTCACATTACAGTTTTAATTAGTGTTTCCTAAACTTAAATTACCAAACAGCAGTTACATGGGATCATTTATCCAAGTATGAAAAACACTGTGATAAAGTTAAACATTAAAAAGATGAAAAGCATTGTGAATCCCTAAAGGGAATGTATCCCACAATGGTTAAAGGATATATTTGACAATAGAACATTTTTTAAGTGTTTTTTTAAAAAAGCAATTAAGTTATCTCATTAGACTAATGTTATGTTGAGTTTGTCGTTAATGAATTGGATGATTTCAGCAAAATATTTTTGATTTGGACTTTCCATCATTATTTGTAGGTATTTCCAAATAAAGCATTTCTTTTGGGTCATGATATTTGTGATCACAATATGGCAGGCGACATCATGGGAATCACCTACTCACAGAAATTTGGGAGAACATGAGGAAAGACCAGCACACTGCAACAGAGATACATTGATTCTCAATAAGTTCACAAGTTTTTCTCTACCACAATGAACATACAGTCTAAGCTTCAGTTTCTGGCATTTTTCTTGTTTTTCATCTTACACTGGCCATTTACCCAATTTAAAAATAAATTGTTTAGTTGAAGATGGGGGTGGTAGGAATTATATTCCACTCTTGATGTTTTCTTTCATAGGTAACAATCCAGGCCTCTCTCTTTCTCTCACTCAGTCTTTCCAGTGGCCTAATCTGATTTATGTTTGTAAGAAAATAAAATTCCATGTATGAATCAACACCCCCTTTGTCCTCCCTTTTCCCCTTGGAGATGACCTTCCTACAAAAAGAGTTAATCAGGCCACAAAGTAAGGCCAGTCACATTTGGGAGACCTGTGTTTTCTCAGTCTATGTGAGTGGGTAAACTTCTCTAATTCTGAGGTTAGTGTTAAGGAGCCCATTTACCTGTGGATCTAAACTATATCCTCTAGTCTAGTCTTTATCTGCAACAAACGTGATATATTGGCCTTCCATCTGCCTTCTCACCTCCCTCCTTTGTCTTATTTCACAGTTGATTTAGAAGTCATCATTCAACCTCCTAAAAACCTTTACAATCTACTAAGGAAAAATCAACATGTGGGAATGACAGGGGTTTTGCTTCCCTTGCCATTTGAAATAGATTCTATTTGTAGTTATGAATTAGCTATTTCCCATGCTCTGTTTAGGTAATTCTTAGTATTACTTATTCCTCAATGTGTCATTTGAGGCCACAGAAAGTTTTCTGTGTGTCATTTTGTAGGAGGACTGAGTTCATAACTAATGCTTCTCTTTTCATACATTAACAAGCAGATACTGTATATAGTTTGAAGATCTGTTCCAGACTTGTTGAAGTTACTTTCTCTTGCCCAGTTTCTTATGGTCAGTGGCACGCAGCCATGAGATAGTTGGCCTGAGCTGAACTGCAGTCTATGACCCAGGAATAGAGCAAAACTCACCAGCCCACGCAGAGATCAAACCCAGGCTCTGGCCTCATTAGCTCCATGACTCAACCAACTGAGCTAATTAACCACAGATGCACAATTATTATCAACTGCTGATTCCACTTCTTGAAGAAGTATAGGTTGACAAATTGTATCAAAATGTATTTAGAATAAATTTGTATGAGTTGTATTAAATACATTTGCAGAAGTAAAAAGTTCTCATTTCCCTCCCAGAAACTTGAATATCTTTATGGTACATACAATACATACAAATAAAAAACTGACCTTGAATAAAAAATACACCGATGTCTCCCTCCTCCCCAACTCCTCATGACACACACACACAGAGATACATATACACACAGGTGTGTACAAATGTCCAGTGGCATTTATAAGCTCTACTGTGGATATCTGGTATTCTATGGTTCTATCAACAGCATGTTGAAATAAGTTCACTTTGCTCTCATTATCATTTTCTCCTATTTATGAATCAGTTCCTTAATCTCTTCCTAAAAATCTTACACCCTACAGTTTGTTCACTCACTCACCATGCACCTTTTAATTTCTCTTCTCTCCATTTTTTTCTTCTTGCTATTATAAACTGACAGAAAATTTTTTGATGACAAAATGTACAATTTCTTAAAAAAAAAAACAGCAGTAACTGTAAATCGATCTAGTAAATTACGTTTTCCAATACAAATTACTACTGATAGAGTGTCCTGAGAATACAAACTACACATCTGTAATTTGTAAAAACAAATAAGCATAAATCAAAATATATTAAATGGTTGCCCATGATGCCGAGGTTACTTAGAAGACCTCAATTACATTATAAGCCTTAAATTGAAGGTGAAAAATGCCTTGAACTCCTATAAATTCTTTTGTTTGTCCTATTTTGTTCTTTGATTACAAAAAGATTTTGTGCCCTTTGAGCTTAAGAAACACAAGTTTTTTTATGACATTCTCTGAATGAAAATTAAATTATAAATAATTATAATTAAAATATAATAAATTATATTAAAAGTTCTAACCTGTGAAATTTTAGTTTCTCACACTGATTTTAATGATCTGAACTTTTCTCATGGAAGTAGATTATTTATATGAGCAATTTTCAGATACGCTTTATGCTCATATTTAGGGTGAGAATTTCTGCCAGGTGCAAGTGGCTCACACCTGTAATCTCAGCACTTTCGGAGACTGAGGCAGGCAAATCACTTGAGGCCAGGAGTTGGAGACTAGCCTGGGCAACATGCTGAGACTTCATCTCTACTAAAGATACAAAAATTAGTTGGACGTGGTGGCGCACACCTGTAATTCCAGCTACTCAGGAGGCTGAGGCATGAGAATCACTTGAACCCAGGAGGCAAAGGTTACAATGAGCAGAGATTGTGCCACTGCACTCCAGCCTGAGTAACAGAGTGAGACTCTGTCTCCAAATATATATAAAATAAAAAAATCAATAAAAAAGAATTTCAAATTCCTGGTTTGAATCTATACTAACTTGTATTAATTCAGCATAGTTGGAATTTTTTTTAAGATACATCCACTTTGAGACTTTCTCTCAAACAGCTATTTAACTTTTTTGTTTTCTTTTTAGTATGTATCATCTGGTACTGTCAATTTTTGGTCTTTGTTGTTTGATTCAATATTTTAAATATGCTTTATATTTTGTTCATTAATGTTCATTTTCTGAAGTTTTCATCAAAGATATCAAAACATATTAAATATTGCTATGCTATTTATGCATCATTTGTTATCTTGTGTGTTGAGGAAGCCTGTGATACCTTCTCCCTCTATCCCCAGGATCCTGGCACAGCTTTACTTCTTCCATCTTTATGTTCTCCTCTAAACTACTTACAACTTTCTCTTCATCATTAACAAATAAGTCTTTTTTGCTCTTTAGGTAAGCCATTGCCACTTTAATGATTATGTTTCAATTACCACCATATCCTCAGGAAAATGATAGATAAGTTGTACCCAAAGCAATGAACTCTCCATAAAATTCAAGTCTATTTTTCCCCTCAAGGTTTGTTAGGTATTTTAGAGTCAGGGATGATGAAGCTACCTGTCAGGATCATACCAAAGCTCTAGTGTAGTTTTTCTATAGACAAGTACAATTCAGAAAGTGAAGATTTATTCTCCCCTTTTAAAAATGAAAGCACTATATTGCCAAGAGAAAATTCCTAGAGATTTTCAAATGTGGGTCCCTAATGTCTTTCTAAAATAGAAGTTGCAACCACAAGGTCAAAGAGCTCTAGTTGCTTCATTCAATAAAATTCAGACAGTATTTTACTTACATGTCTAGAATTCCTCCCTGATCGACAAAATAGAGATAATTTGATTACAGCAATATAACCAATAAAGATCTATTATGTAAAAATCATACTTTTCAGGGAGGCTTAACTGGTCAAAATACACTAATAATGAATATGCAGAGACTTGGTATAAAGTTGTCTAAATGTTCAATGAGAACAAAGCATATCGAAAGCAATTTTTGGCCGGATTTGTGGTTCATGCCTGTAATCCCAGCATTTTGGTAGGCCAAGGCAGGCGGATCATGGATCAAGAGATCAAGGCCATCCTGGTCAACATGGTGAAACCCTGTCTCTACTAAAAATACAAAAAAAAAAAAAAATTAGCTGGGTGTGGTGGTGTGCACCTATAGTCTCAGCCACTGGAGAGACTGAGGCAGGAGAGTCACTTGAACTTGGGAGGCAGAGGTTGCAGTAAGCCAGGATTACACAACTGCACTACTGTCTGATGACAGAGTGAGGCTCCATCTCAAAAAAAAAAAAAAAGCAATCTTTTTTAGATTGGTCATCTGGATAACTTAGTTGTCAATTTATTGACAGAAGGAAATCAGTCATCAAAACAGTACAGATGGAATTGACCAGGCTGTTGCTGACAAAATTTATGTGACACTGTTACATGAAAACTATCCTATATTGACAATTAGGTTAGAGGCTATATAGCAAAAAATAATACACAATGGTTAAGCTCTTTGATACAGTTCTAAAAACAAACAATAGGAAAACATTGTTTACAATGTTCACACTCCACTTACAAAATGGGCCTCATCCTTCCAATGAGCAGGAAAGAAATTTTCCATTTAATTGAAAGAATTCACATTCTTGTGTTACTGAACCCCATAACATCATAAATGACTCCTAAATGGCATTCCAATTAATTAATATGAATCAATACTTTAAATATATACAATGTATTCCTTTATCATTGATAAGACTCATATCAGAATCAACCTTATGTCTCCATCAGATTTGCCATAAGTTTAATTTGGACCTTGTATTCATTCTTACAATCTACAGAATTAGTGAGAAGTTCAAAAGTGCTGAACAACAAAGAACTCAAAGAAAAATTCTGTTAGTTTACCTTTCTGCCATCTTCCGGCAGCTAACTTGCCTTCCATACTATACACAGATTGGTTCAGCTGCTTAGAAGATGGCATTAATAACACCACTGGAATATGGTATCCATTATGTATCAACTGCCTTCTTCTATATGACAGATACAGAGCTTTTAGTCCCAAGCCATCAAATGGGTCACCAATTCTTGCCAACAATCTCAAAAATACCAGCTATTGTTTGTAATGGGAATGGATTGAGAGCATGTGTCTGTTTCAGCAAATTCTTCTGCAATGGTTGGAAAATAACTCAAAGTACATGCTCTTAGTGGATTGTAATAGTGGACAGTATTATGTAGTACTGTCTTTATATAAGCAGGACAATGTAGATTTTCAATAATGCTTTTAGCTGAAAGGTAAGGAATGCATTAATGGTAACCTGGAATGCATTAATTGCTCCTGGAACCAAACCAACTTTCAAACCAAACATATGAGGGTAGTTATAAGATTAAAATATAAATATATAGTGTTATTATGAATTAAATGCCTCAGGTATCCTGTCCTTTTCAGTGCTCTAATTGCCACCCCCTAAAGCTAAAAGCTTGTCACTCACTTTACACCTGTATTTCTGGAAATGCTTCCTATGGACTTTAAGGGCTGGAGCTGCCTCCAGATTCTTGCTCCACCCTCCAACTGTCACCTGTATATTGCATAGCGCTTCTGGAATAATCCTTATTAAATGCTTTCATTATATTTTAACTCTGCTTAAAAATCAATTATGGTACCTTATTTCAGACCACATCAAAAACAAGCCTTTCTATCTAGTTGTCAAAGCCATACATAAGCTGTTTCTATAACTCTTATCTGATTTTTTTTTTTTTTTTTTTTACAAGAACATATCAAATACTTCAGGGTTACCTTCTCACTGCTCCATCACTGGAAACTGCATTCTTTAATTCACTCATTCATGAGATTATCTCATACAAAATGGCCTCCACTTTTACCTTCGTCTCACTAACAAGGTTCTATATAATCTTCAATACTATAATCCTGATGCTTCCATGAAGCACTCACTCATTATTGCCACTATTATTCGGCTCCATCTCCTGTCAGTTTCTAAACTCGAATAACACTTCCTGGTGAATGACTTTTTTTATAATTCAAGGTTCTTTTATGTCTTTTAGAGGCATTCCCATAATTATATCAAAACATATCTGAGGAGAACTATTATGTTAATTATCAGTAACTTTTATGATGATAAAAATGGTATGGAAATACAGGAAGCACTCAAAAATTATCGATTAATTATAGTTCATTGCCAAAAGCAATAAAAAACAGAACATGATATTTCTACCCATTTTTGAATTCATAAAACATTTTCATCTTGCTTTTCCAGTAATAAAAGTGGTTTTCAAAATATTGCAAAATAGTCTTTGTTATGAAAGTTAAAATTTGTTACAAGGTACTATAGGAGGTACAACCCTTGCATATAAAAACATTTAAATTTCCATACATATGTGTAGCTCAAAATTTCAGGCAATGAGGAGATATGTAAACAGCTTAATTTCTACTAACCTCAAGAAATATACATGTCCCTTATTTAAAAATGTAGAAACTAACCCCCAAACACTACACATCACTTACAATCTTTGCTATTTCCCCCAAAGTAGCACAACTATTTCAATAAATACAAGGAACTTGGCAATAAATTAACATTTAATAATTCTATACTAAAGAATTATATTTGGATTTCTGAAAAACATTTATTTTCTGATTCTTTTGATTCTTTTGAACCAAATAGGCTAGGAATTAAGGTTTTTCAACCTCTATAATGAGTAACAATACCACAAACCTCAGGGTGATCAATTTTTGTTAAAGTACACTAATAGGTATTGGATAGGTTTAACCATTTTGAACGTGTTCTTGCTTTTTGTAAAATACTCAGTGTATTATTTGGTCTATACATTTCTTTAAATGTCACTTGCATTTCCAGAAATGAACTTATATTGACATTCTTGTATAACTTTTACAGACTTTTTATTATTTTTTGAGATGCAGTCTCGCTCTGTCACTAGCTGGAGTACGGTGGCGTGATCTCAGCTCACGGCAACCTCTGCCTCTTGGGTTTAAGTGATTGTCCTGCCTCAGCCTCCAGAGTAGCTGGGACTACAGGCATGCAACACCACGCCTGGCTAATTTTTGTATTTTTTAATAGAGATGGGGTTTCACCATGTTAGCCAGGATGGTCTCAATCTCCTGACGTTGTGATTCACCCGCCTCAGCCTCCCAAAGTGCTGGGATTACAGGCATGAGCTGCCATACCCAGCTAATTTTTACAGACTTGTAAAGAAGTGACATACTAAAGTCAAAAGGTAGGACACTTCTATTTTGTAATTACTACTTTAAAAGCACACGATCACTGCTAACTTATCCCACCAACCAAGTATCTCATCCGGTAGAAACTCTCCTAGATAAATATCCAACTTTTCTGGACCTAGTTATTGTGCTGTGTACACATAGCTTTATTCTGTCCATTATTCCTTAAGAATCTAATCTGCCTATCCAAATACTTATGCATATATTTTATGTTTAAGAATTGCACATAATGAATATAAACAGTTAATATTAACAATATTGATAATTGATATTTTGATGATAGACCTTTTATTAATACATATATTAATAGTGAGACGCCTAGTACTCTGAAAAGAAATGCAGTTTAAAAATTGTTCAAAACACATAGAAGTAGAGGTAGAGAAATATGAGCTCTTATATGAAAATATAAAACGTAAAGAAAAGGTAGAAGTCATAGGATGGTCTAGGGAAAATAATGGAACATGTTTTTTGGTGTATGTTATATAAAAGTGAAAAATAAAGAGAAGAGCTGTGGTAACCAATTTCTTTCTTTATGTATTCATTTCAATGTTGTAGGATTATTCTCAGATACATGATATTTTTCTCACTTCAAGTTTCAATTA